CCTGCTCTGTTAGGGTCTTTATGGAAGCCAGCTAGTTTACTATGTGATGGGTGGTGGTTTATATTCCACAATCAGTCATTTATTCCCTCGTCTCCCTCCTTATTTATGTGTTGCTTTGTAGACTTCTTCTCAAAAGCACTCCCAGAGTGAATAGTCAGCTCAGAAAATCAACTGTGAGGCTTGGTGCAGTGAATGGGAACCCAGATAACTAGAGACGAGTAAAGAATACTGGAATGAAAGTTGGGTCAGGCCAGGGAAAGGAAACGTATATGACAGATCATGAAGTACATGATACACATTGAAGTAGTGGGAGGACAAGTCATGGTTAGACCTAGAGTTTGACTTAGTCCCCGCTGCAGCAACAAGAAGACTCCTATTGATGGCTGTGACTGTTCAGTCAAGCCCTTATTGAAAAAAAGTTGGGAAATCATCCAAGAAGGGGAGGAAACATGCAGTAGAGTGAAGAGGCCGGATCCTCAGCTGTTGTTGATCTGCTTACCTCCACTGACATCAGTATGTCCCGAGCTGAGAATCTGGCCCATACGTGTTCGTGTCAAGCCTGATGCACCAGAAGAGGGGTGGAGACAATGAGAGGAACGTCTTGTTTCTTAATGGCTTGCAGTATGTATTCCTTGTAATGCCTCTCCTGTTGTGAGACGCCATTGCCACACCTCAAGCTGCTTCTTCAGTGGGTATGTCTGCACTACGGTCTCTGCTACTACAGCAATGCCAACCTAGCTATGGGCACAGACAGACATTCATTTGAACTGCTCCAGATGCCTGAACATTACAAATTTGGCATGCTTCAGTGCTGTGCAGATGCATCTCCCCCACCCCTCCCTGGAAGTACTTCAAAAAGGGACACAGGCAGGAGAGCATTAATTGGCTGTCTGGTGTCTGCCCCGCTATTCCCCTGAGGAGGGGAATGGAGCATTGTGGGATGCTGGAGGGTGTAAATGTTTTGGAAAGCGCTTCAGAGATGTTTGTAGGGGTAATTTTAAAGCCCTGCAGCTTTTTGAAGCACTTTTTCAGGCATGAATTTTGGCCATTTGGAGCACTTCAAACAGCATGCATGTCTGTGGCCTATGTAAGCCAGAGCATTCTTCTGTTGGTATCACTGGGACCAAACCCAGAGGTTTGCTGACCTAGTTTCATCAGCATAGGGGTATGTTCTTTGCCAGACATAATTTGGTTGGTAAAGTTTTGTAGTGTGGACCTAGCTTCTCTAGCTCATGCCACTGCAGCAGAAGCATAGCTGTACAGTTAATCTTGCTGCGTCAGCTGTCTCAAGTTCACTTGCTTTGCAACAAACCAGATCTGAAAGATAGTTCAGTCAACAAATGCTCCATGTTTTTCTTTTCTTTTTTTTTAAATGGGTTTACATCTTGCAAAGTTTGAATGCCACATGCACAGATAAAAATCTAGAGGTCCTGGGTAGCTATCTACAGCAAACTGTGTGTATGGCAGGACAGCCTGTCTGTTCAAAAGGTGAGCAAATCTGCACACTTCCCCTGCCCACCTGAAGCTCCCACATACCACCTAATGTGCAAGAGAATAAAGTGATTTCAGGAAACTTGTGTGGGCCACTGATAGCATCAAACTAACATAGCGGACTGAAAGTGGTGACTACATTGCTTTTGAGCTGCCTGAGGCTCTGTTCGTGACCATTGTAGGCTTTGTGATAAAAAAATAAATAAATAAATAAGTGTGGGGTTTTCACAAGAATTCAAGAGCTTTCCACTCCAGGCATCTCATGCTTGCATAAGTTCCTCTCAGTTCTTACAAATTTAGATCTTTACCCAAGCAGAGCTACAGAGCGTGCAAGACTGACCTGGGTTTTTTTAAATAGCATCAAATTTTTTTTTTTTATTTCAAAAGGGGTGGAACCAGTGCTTTGTTTTCTGTTGAATTTTTGCTGAATCTTTGGCCAGATTTGTCACAATAAACCACAACCTTTTCTGTGACAAGTGACTCCCCTTGTGAATGAGATCTCAAAGCACAGTCACTCCTTTCATTTCCATGATGATGTTTCTTTGGTTTTGAATCAAGTAAGAGCATCCTTGGAAAAGGCAGAAGGCAGAGAAGGTAGGTGCAGTGGACTATAGTGTATATTTCTTTTTTGAACTTGTAGGGGAACAAGGTTTAAACAAACACAATGAGATTATTCTGAGTATGTAGATGATCCATAGTCGGGCAAGAGTCTTGGTTTTAGTGATGCAAACTGCGGGATTCTGAGCCTATTTCAAATGGTTACATTTTATTGTGGCCTCTCTTCCAAGAACTAGTTAATCCAAAGCCTTTTGAAGTTAGTAGGATGATTCCTACTGACTTCATTGTGTTTTGAATCAGGCCCTAAATATTTTCTTACATGTTGGGGGGAGAAATGTATGGACATCTCTCCCGAGGACAGCCTATTCCTCTGTATCAAGCCTCCCTGTGGGATATCGCCTTCTGTTCTTTCCAAGGACCCTTCTAAATAATCCAGGTCTCTGCATACAGGCACCTTAGCAGTAACATGAGTTATGCTTTTAGTAAATTGTCTAGTCTTGTTAATTGTCCATCACCACTGGGATCATTTATTTGCCAGCTCTTTAGCTGATGAAAAACCTATTGAAATTAAAGAATCTGTTTCTGCCTGATGAAATAACATTTTGTATAAAAGCTGGTTCTAGCTGTATGCCATAGCAAGATATTTAGGGTAGGTCTTCACTGCAGAATTAACTCAGGTGATAAGCACCTGTGCTTGAGCACCAGCGTTAGCTGAGCCCGGATGAGAGCTGTGTCCCAATGGGAACTTACCTGTGTGTTGCATTTCCCATAATCCTTTGGGCTACAGTAAGCCGAGTCACTATGAATCCTTTTTCTGTTGATTGCAGGAGAGCTTGCCTGTCCTTCAGGCCTTGCAGGGAGGGGAATTGTGGGAAGGCATTGGAGGGCTATCAGCAAATAAAGTGGCAGATTAACAGCCTGAAGGGAAGCAGAACCTGAGCTCAGTTACTATAATACATTGTACAAACAATCCAGTCTAGGAGCACTTGACTGCCTGGCCTTTATTAAGGTCTGGAAGAACTACCGTATATTCTTGCATATGACATGCCCCCCAATAAGAGACGTGGCTTGCTTTTGAAAGGCAGAATGAAGAAAAAAAGATCTTGCCTTGAAAATACTGGTAAGTAGCAGTAAGTAACTGTGTAGCAGCTTCTGCAGCATGAGCCTCTGCTGGGAAGAGGGAAAAAGAGAAAGGGTCCACAGTCAGCAGCTGGGGAGTCCCAGGTGCTCCTGGTTTTTCTCCCTGGCCATACATGCAACTTTACTTTTACTTTCTCCTGGGCAGAGGCTGGAACTCCTATTACCATATTTTCTTACTTACATTGCACACCCCAATTTCCAGCAGCTGAATGTGGGAGAGGTCCATTTTGTATGCAAGAAGATATGGTAGGCTGCCACAAACTGGTTAACTTCAGCCTGCCATTCCCATGCTCTTCACGTAGCTTTTGTTGGATGAATTTTGCTTGTAAAATAACTAGTGATCCTCCTCTTCTCCGCTGTGGTCTGGCTGGGTGTGCTATGGTAGGCTGAAACTGTGCATTTGCTTCCTGGGTTCTAAAGTGCCAACCCAACAAAGCCCTAAAATACCAGCTAAGTCCCATTGTAGTCACCAGGGACTTAAGCACATGCTGTGTTTAAGCATGTGCTGAAATGCTTTGCTGAATCGTGGCCCCAAACCCCAGTGCTGCTTCTTAAGTAGCTGTTCTTCACAGCATTTGCCATGTGCAGTCCTTAGATGCTGTAAAAGCAAGGTAGGAGCATATGTGAAACACCATGATAAATGGGGCAGGTGATAAGCATGCAGCTACAGGATTATCTAGCCCCACTTCTCAGCTGTAGATCCACTTTGGATCCATATTTTATCCTGGAGACACAAAACTTGAAAAATAGAGACCTCTTTCATGGAAAACCCAAAGCCCCTTTAACTGAGTCAAATTTGATCTTTGCTGTCATCAAGGGTCATAATGAAACCAGCCCATGAAAGCATTGTTATACTGTGTCCTATTCTGAGTGGCCGGGTGTTGCCCCACGCATCAAGATGACAAATATAGATACTTGGGGCTGGGGTCATGTGCTATGAGGACTCTAAAACCCTCAGGGCAATCCAGTGAAAGAATGTAAATACAGGCTCACAGGTGCTTTGAGGGCTTGTCTCTCCAGAGAGGGCTATGGGTGTTAGGTGCTGAACTCCCACAAAGTCAGTGGAATTTGTGCTTCCCTCTTTGGCTTCTTTCAAAATCCTTGGCCCACTTGATCACACCTCAGCCCAGAAGGCCCCCGACAGAGAAACTGGTGTGTGAACTCCATGGATCTCCTTCTGTTGCTGCTTGCACTTTATTAAATTGGGAAGAGCCCCCATTGAAATCAATGTGGTGAAAAACCAGGGCAGGTGAGATCAGGGCCCGTGGGTTCTGCAGAAGGTGGGTTCATAGAGCAGCCACATCTATACAGCTCCAAGCCAGGAGAGGGTCAAGCTGAGCAAACTTTTGTTGATCTGTCTCCTCTTTGCCAGTCAGGGTGACTGGTGTGAGGTTCATAAGAGAGTGAGAGAGCAGTGCTGATCTAATGGGTAAAAGGGAGTTTGTGGGGGAAGAGAAGGAATCTGGGCAACCCTTTATAAAAGCCTGCCTCTTAGAAGAGAGCTCTTCAGTCCCATTCCTCAAGTCTTGTATCTTCAGGTGCTCTTGAGGGGTTTTAAATGTATACCATTCAGCTTCTGGTGACTCAAATACAACTGCTGAGCCAGAATGTATGAGTTTTTAGAGCTGTGTTTTCCAAGCTTGTGGCATTAATGGTAGGCTGTGTGAAGTACAGAAGTCTGTGTATAAACCCTTCTGCCCAGTTAGGTAGCCAAGTGGGTAACATTCATTCCCTTGACCCAAAGGCAGCTTGGATGGTCTCTAGAGAACATCACCAGAGCTGTGTTTAATCAAGCCTCCATCCCTTCTACCCAGATACTTTGGGTAGCCAACTTGGGTTTCATTTATTTCCTTCACCAACCTCTCTGAGGGTCCCATCATCAGAGCTGGAGCAGCATGGCCTTGAGTTAATATAGTCAGGGCACATTGGCCTTAGTACTAAGAGTCTTCTACAGTAGCAAAACAGGTCTCAGCCTAGCAAACCTCTTGTCTTGCTGTTTTTCTTTTGTGTGTGTGGTGTCTTCTCTCTTGTTCACCATTTGCTTTTGGTTTTTTTCTGCTGAACAGCTGTTGTTCCGGAATCCTGCCCTATTAACATTGACGAATAGGTATGAGATCCGCAAAGTCTGAATGAATCTCACTCTTGTTTTACTGTTTAAGTTTTTAAATTTTTTTTAAGATGTCTTTGGATGAGTTGAATCACCCCATTTCATAACTAAAGTGAAGGGCAGGGGGAGGAGGAAGGGGAAAACCTTGTCCCATGCCAAGAGCACCCCCTCACGAATGGCAAAGAGGAATTCAAAACTCAGCCTCCCTGACTCTTCATTGTTCTGCACCTCATGCCATGCTTTACCCCAATGCATATAGGTATTGAATATCACGGGATCAGAGTAGTAGCTGATTAGTAGTAGCTTACACCACTTGACACTGGTGTAAGTCATAACAAGGGGCGAAGTCTCTGTTGGATCTATCCTAAAAGACAGAGATAGTATTATGTTTAGACTTGCTTTCAAACTGGACCTCCCACTTGTTGTCTAAAGACAAACTCTACATGCTGAAATGAGTTGTGCCCATATCCCCTCGGGGTCCAGTAGCAAAGGAGTTAGTGTCTTGCTATAGCTCTAGAGGGCCAGTGTCAAGGTCCTGCCCAGGGATCATGCCAAAGGCTGCCCCCGATCTGCCCAGCCATAAATGGACACCTGGTCACTCAGGTTGAAGAATCAGGGGTGGCTGGGTATGATCTGGCCATCTTATTCCATGGTGGGCTGATGGCTTAAAATTAGCATGCTTTAAGCACACCAGTCCAATGGGCTGTTAGGTTCAGGTGGACTAACAATCCACATGTGCTAACACTCCACACACCAAGGAAAAAGCAACACCAGCCCTCGTACAGTTCTTGCCCCTCTCCTTTGCTAAAAAAAATCTCAAGAGAATAAAGGGAATAAATTAGCCCTAAACTCTCAGAAAGGAGATTCTGGGACTCATAGAGTGCTTCAGGGAAAATAGTTCCTCTCTAGAGATATCTTGTTCAGGCTTGGTTTGGCCTCTTTGGGCCTAAGCCAGTCCAAAAGAGGACGTTTCCATGTTGATATTAACCCTTTCTATTTTATTATTTATATTGCAGCAGTGATCAGATACCCCAACCAAAGTCCAGGCTGTTTCATGCTAGACTCAGTGTAAGCAGGGAGGCATGATACCTGGACAAAGATCTTATGATCTAAGTAGACCAAAGAAACATAGTTATCACCAAACACAGAGAAGTTGCAGGGCCCAATCAGGTGCTGCAGAAGTCTTGCTATAGGTCTTGTGGCAAGCAGGATCAAGCTGACAAAGACTTAGTCGTATAGTAGGATGAAATTTGAATCCAGGCCCCCTGGGGCTCAGTCTAGACCCCATTTCTGAGTAGTTCATGTGAGTTTGTAAGCCATTCCTCTCCTGTAGCTGTTTGCAGTGCTTTGGAAATGTGGCATTCATACTAGTGTAGATTTGCTGCTAGAAGTACCCGTCATTCTATACCGACTTCTTATAAGTTACACTGGTGTAGGGGTTTATGTAGTGTGTCCATTCCTTTTTTTTAATCTGAAGTAAATGTGCTATGTCTAGGCCTTTAGTTCTTTGTGTCATACCATGTCCTGGGCAGAATGAAGCTCAGCTTGAGCCCTCCCTATAGTGCGTGCATAGTGATGGGGGAAATGCTGGGCCCTGGTTCCTTCTTAGGTTTCCCAGCAGCAAGCAAAGGATAGAGCAGTTGGCAGGCTAGAGTCATCCCCAATATAATTTCTTGGCTGTCAGTGGGGTTAGACCAAGGATTAATTTGGCCCAGCACTTGCAGTGGCCTTGCAAAGAGCCAGAAAATAATCTCATTTGACATCCTGACAGTGCCTTTTCTTGGTTGCCTTTGGGAGCGCTGTCGACATGGGATGCTAGTAGCACAGCCATGTGACATAAACACTGTTGTTTCAGTGCATCCCCCCCAATTATTTGTTACATGTCAGCAAAATCTGCAGCTGCCAAGCAAAACCCCAGGTCTTATAGGCTGAGAAAAAGGAGATTCCCCCTTGTTGGAAGTTTCTTTCTTCTTTCATACCGTGGGGGCTGGAGGTAGGGGTAGCATCAGTGTGGTTCTGGAACAGACTCCTGCAGGGATTCTGAATCCCAATGCAAGCTCACTGGAGTTAAGCATCTCATTTAGCACTGTGCTGCAGGCAGGCAAAGCTTTGTACATTTCCTGGGCAAAAATGTAACACCTCAGGCCCAAATTAACACACACACTTCCTGTGCTAAGTGACAATCCCTACTCATCTCTAGGGGATCATTTGGATTTTTTTTTTAATTTGCCTACAGCTGCAGGCTCCATTTGGAAGCCAAGTCATTAAGAGGCAGAAGGGATCTTTCCTGCCGCTATCACATTTCAGCTGGATAGAGCACTAGTGACTCCCTGTCACTTCAATATCAGGAAGCCCTGGAGCTGTTGCTGTGCAGGACTTGTCCTATTGAAACTAGCCGTGCATTTGAGGTGGTCATTTCTTTTTTGTACTGTGGAAGCCAATTAGAAGGAAGTCAGTTTGGTTTGCCCCATGGAGCTTGCTCTCAGACAAAGTGTCCCCCCGCTTGGAATTAACTCTGGGGCTTATAAGATTGTAAGCTCATGCTGTTTCAGTTGAAGTTGGGTTCCCCTGTCTGTGAGCTCACATGAAGCCCTGTCTCTTGCCTGTTGAACATGTAGGGGTCTGGATAAAATAGAACCCAGAAAGGAGACTGGTCCCAATGTGGTTTAATAAAAGACTCCAAACACCAGCTGCTTGCACTGGGCAGAACTAATTGTGCATCTCTCTGCTGCTGCCCCATGCATTTCTATCTATCAGATTTAATATACCAAGAGGTAGCTCTAAGACACCGTGCTCTCTGTTGACAGTGGCTATCCTCATATGTCTTGTAACCACAGTCTTTTTCCCAGGTGTTGAGGCGTCCGATGACAACGCCCTGACCTGCCGGCAAGCCCCGAGACACCATCTGTCCACCAGCAGCATCAACCGGGAAGATGATAAGGATATGCAATGCATGATGGGACCTCTGGCAGTCTGACGAGACTCCGCCCTCTCTGGGACTGCACGCTGGATGGAGGGCAAAGCCAGCTACCCAACACATTTCCCCAACACTAAAGAAATCTGGAGCAGCCAATCTGTGGGCATTAACACCTCAAATATGGCAGATGTAGCGATACTGTTATATATATTATTTTTTAATTTAAGCTGCAATTCTCACCCCTCCTCCCTTTGAACTGTTTCCCTATATTTATGCTAGGACTAACTGGACTCACCTTGATAACAGCAGAAAGGAGGCTGGTTATGGTCATGAACTGTAACTCTCAAATTTAGAGGCCTCGGTCCATGTGTTGTATCCAAGAACAGTTGGGGTGTTTCCCTTCCCACTCTTCTCCCTGTTCCCTGCTGTGAACTGGTTGTAAGGTAGGAGGGAACTGATGTCAGCACATGTCCTCCACTGTTTCCTCTTCCCTTCAGCCCTCCTTGGCAGTTGGAGACTCCAACTTCTTGGCTGGGCAGCCATGTGGCACTGAATGGGTGCTTGGAGGAGACTTCTCTTCAGTGGGATGACTTCATGGCCTGGAAGATCTCCACCCAACAAGGAAAGAGGCTGAGAGGAATGGGCTGGGAGAAGAGGGTGCCAACAGGAGCAAGTGGTGGTTAAGGGAAGAACATTGCCGCATGCCTATTGTAGGGGCATGGCAGTGTGGCTGCTTTCTGGGCAGGCTCTCCTGTCTCCATCCATCACATGCCCTAAGTCACCTTCCGTTAGCACATGCATCCCTGTGTAGACTGGTTGGTGCGCTCACCCATCTCCATATCACCTGGCATAGAGTAACCATCTCACTGGCTCACCTGAGTGCAGACATTCTGCAAGGGTAAGTTCTGCTTGTTACGAGTATCTAGAGCTATGCCCCGGGTCCTTTGGGGTCACAGGGAATTTAGCTGTTGACTTCAGTAGGACCAAAATGTGGTGTTTGTGATGAACTATCAATGGGCAAACATGGGCCAGGACTCTGTGCTGATGCATATGAACTGGTGTACTTCCAGGGAAGGCTGGTACACCTGTAGGTTTGCTGAAGTGTGCTGTGATAGTCCACAAGAGTCCACTCACCTGGTTGCATGTGCTCATTCATAATGGCTCATTCCTCTCTCTTGCCTTGCAAGAGGTTCTTGTCCTAACTGGGACCAACTCACAAGATATAAGCTTGAAAACAAGTGCTTTAAACACGGCTGCTGCTGCTTTGGCAGGTTCCAAATGTCTCTTCTGTGCCCTCCTCCCGTTGCTGCAGGGCAGCTGCCAACTTTTTCTTCCTCTTGCAAACCAAAAACAAGCAATAACCTAGCTCCACAGCCTCAGCAAGAGATTAGATGAAGGGCAATTATGGGCTGAGGGGGCTTCCTTCATGATGGTTAGCCCTTGCATCTGTCTGTTATGTGACACATTGATTTGGGGAAGGTAAATGGTAGCCTACAATGAAAGCCACATCAGGGGACAAATATACGACCCCTTGGAGATACGTAGTTATGGGATTTTTCCATCTTGCCTTCCGATCTGCTGCCATGCTGGCTCTATTTGTTTCAGCTGGACAGGCTTCAGATTCTCGAGATGCCCCTTTCTCTGGAGCAGTTTCAGTGATGAAGGCCCAGTCCCTCCTTTTGTTTCTTGTTTCTAAGGCATTTTTACCAAGTGGGGGCAAACCAGAAGCTATATACAGTGCCACCCCTTCTGCTCTCCCTATCCCACATTGATCAGTCTGCCCTGCGTTTCCAGCCAGACTTTTCAGGGGAAGGTGTGTGTACTGGGTCAACAATGGAACTGAGACTCCAATCCACAGGGCAAAAGTCAAAGGTCCTGGGGAGGCAGGTCATGACTAGGGACCTACCAAAGACCAGAGAGGCCCTCTGGAAATGCAGGCCAAGGCAGAGGGAAGGACAGTCCTGGTTGGTGGTGAAGTGATTGAGGAGAGTCAGCACCTCAGAAGAAGTGTTCAGCTTGTTCTTGGGAGGGAGAATTCAGTCTCATGCTGTATTCAAGGGGCTCATAGAAAAGCTTCAGAGTGGGTGCAGATAGGGGATGTCAAGAGTAATGCACATGACTTGGGTATTGTCAAAACTGGTGCTTTATTCATGACCTGAGATCCCCTTCTACGAGGACACATCAGTAGTGGCCCCCGCTCACTGGTATTGGTGGCTTTTGGACCAGTGCAGCAGAACACAATGGCCATTTGAATGAAGAACATATAAACCCCTATCCCTTCCTCCTGTCTCCTGCCCTTGGCTCTCTCTGCTCCTGCTATGTGCTGGGTGTTGAGGGTGATGGAACTGCTCTTTCTATTAGAACAAGAGAGGTTGGATGAAGTGGTGCACGTCTGTTACTCTCACTATGCAGAGAACAGCCCAGGGCTACAGAATGATTCAGTGCCCATAGGTGTGTGCGCAGGGGTAGGTAGGCCCCTCCTAGCCCTAGGCATGTCATAGTGATACCAATGCAAGATGTATTAATTGCTGCATAATTCTGAGACAATATGTGGATTATGGAGGAAGGGCAGCTGGGACTAGGAGGTGTGTTTGGGCATGGGAGAAGGATCCATTTTTGAGGCACCAGTCAAAGGGCTGCACTAGCTTGTAATTGATGTTTGCCCTCTGCAAGCCTTGTTCCATTAGGCTATCAAAACAGTACTGCATCCTCCCCCCTCTTCTTGGTGGACACTGTTGGAGCCGATACAAGCCCCACGTGCTAACTGAACTCAAGAATCGTTCCACGAATGATGAAAGCCAAGCCTACGTTGTCTGGGTGATGTATTCTAGAATGCCCAGGTGTCCTGCCTGCCACTAGGAATGTGTCCCAGACAGACCGGGGAAGGTGCAGCTCCTGGCTACAGAGTTGTCTCAAAGCACTGTACAGAGCTGGTTTAATAAGAGACACATAACCTGCTGGACTAATAACAGAGCCATCTTGGAGGCTGGGCAGAAAGCTCTCCCAAGCCAATAAGAAAGGAACGCAAGGGAGATGAGATGGAGTCACTGCTATCTTATTCCCCGCTCCCACTTCTACAAGTGGGCTGCGGTGTAAATCAGGAGGAGTTCCACTTAAAGCAATGGCAGTAGTCTAGTTTTGCAGTGCCGGAGTAGCTTATGACCCATTGAGCAATCATGTTCTGTTTCCCTGGGAAGAAAGGCCAAGCCATTTTCAGGGGTTCCTGAGGGGTTCTGCTCCCTTGTATTTCATGTCAGTGTCCAGGCAAGTAGAACAGCAACTGTGGAAGGTACGTGCCAACCCAGACTGGTGGCATCACACACTTACCACATGATTATCCTGGTGTAAATAGGGGTCATGGAAACAGGGAGTCCAGGAGCATCATAAGAGTAGTCCTGACTTCTGGACTGGGGAAGGAAAGTAGGTGGGTATCCTTGCTCATTGCCTCTTCTAATTGAAAGGGAGCATCCATCCAGTTTAACAGAGAAGTTTTAGTTTCTGCTTTGGCATTTCTGAGCCTGCATTGCTAAAGGACCAGGAGGTGCATAACAGACAGAACAGCAGCAAGGGAACAGGTGAAAATGGAAGCCCCTCCTATGATGTTTGCATGAAGTCTGCTGAAGCAGCAGGCAGTAGGAGAGGATGGCTGAATTCATCTTTAGCTTAACGCAATAAACCAACTGCATCAAGTAATCCAGGTGGCAAGATGGACCAATGTACAGTAGCAAGCTTCCACCCTTAGCAACTTGACTTCCAGTTCAGTTTTGTAGCTTTGTAGTCATTCCTATTGGCCATCTGCCCACAAGATGGGCACTCAGTGCACAGGAAAGCCATGCTGAGGATGAGGATACTTTGGAAGAACTATATGGGAGAGCAGAACTGGGCTAGCAGGCAGGTTTGTAAAGAACTGGGAAAGGACATTGGGAGAACTTTGTGTGAGAGACTCATATGATTTCATCCCGCCAATGGAGAAGCAAACATCCTTGCCATTGCATGGAAGACACAGTAGCAGAGGGTTTATCCCACACTAGCAACCATAGTATGTACCCATACGTAGTCTCTGCAAAGTTTGTACTCAAGTTGCTCATTCTTGCTCAACCCCATGCTATGACAGCTTCACTGTTAGTTACTCATGCTAGCTACATAATGTTAGCATAGGTATGCTAGTGAGTGCTGTAATCACACCTTCCCTGAGTACTCTGACCCAATAGAGGCCTACTATTCCACAGATGGAAAATGTTGTGGAAGATCTGCTCTAGCCTTAGCTCATCTCACCGGGGCCAGTAGGCCTGTCTTGATCACAAGTTTGCTTCTTCTTGCCCAGGGCCTTAGCAGTATCAGCTTTTCAGTGACAAAATTGCCATGAAACTAAATCATCAAGTTTAATGGCCTTCTGCTCTCACTGATTAATCGAATGCTCCCAGAGATGAAACTGTCATGAACGTAAAAAGAAGCAAACCCCAGTTTGATGCTTATGACTTGCTTTAAAATGTTCTTAGTTTCTGAAATGGTATCATACCTCTATTAGGCACGAGGCTCTTTTCTCCATTACACCGAGTTTAATTTTTAAAAAGCTACCCCGCATTTATACAATGAAAAGTTGAGTGTCCCACATAGGAGCATTGCAGGCAAACGAGAAATAGGAGTCCACACCAGTAAAATGTTGGGATAGTTGCCAAGATGATGCTTAGAGTTATGATGACATAAACAGCAGGAGGGGGTATGAACATGTGGATTTTGCAGGCCCTTTATTCTTCAGCCATGATGCTAAAGGAGTTCAAAGAGAGAAGAATTTCCTCCTTCTCTAAGGCCCCCAGGGGTTCTCTCCTGGTGATGAAATGGACCTAAAGGTTTTGGCTGGAGCTTCTAGTGAAATTCCACCCAGAAGGGCAGGATACACCTGACCCAGGATGACTCAGCTGCTAGGCCTACCGTCCTAGTGAGTCTTTGGAAGGGTGCAGTGATCAACGACAAGCACCAGGTGGCATCCCACAATCAGAACTTCACTGCTCCACAGATAACGAATCAAACCTGCACAAGAGGTAGACATTATTCTACGCCGGGTCTTCCCAACAGCATGGGAACAGGGCACACAAAAGGGAAACTTTATAAGGCCAAGGGAGACTGAAGGGAGATCGGAGAGAGAGAGGTCACAGGGAAGGCTGCGTTCATCTCTAAGAAAAGTAGAAGCGGTGAAAGAAAACGAATGTAGTGGCACTGGGCATGGAGGGAGAAGTGAGTGAGCTTCATACTTATAGCGATTAATAATTAGTCTGACGATGATGATGATTAATACTGAATTATAGTTTGCATGTCTGTCGCACCTTCCATCCATGGTTTTCAAAGCACTTTACAGGCACTGATGGATATTATTTAGATTGTAAGCTCTTTGGGGGCAAAGACTGCTCTTATTCTGTATGTGTCCAATGACTTAGCACAGTGGTGCCCTAGCTCAGGCCAAGGGCTCTGAGGTACTACCATGATAGAAATAGTAAATAATCATGTTAATGAATAATTGCCCTGATAACCCTGTGAAGTAGGTCGGTACTATTGTCCCCCCAGCTGGGAATACTGAGGCACAAAGAGATTAAGTGACTTGTTCAAGGCTTGTGCCAGGAAACCTCTGGCGGGTCAGAGTCCAGATCTCGTGATTCCCAACCTGGTGCCTTCACCTATTGCTTTGATGCAGTAACTCTGGAGAAGGAGGGAGCTATTTAGAGTGGCATAAAGTTGTATGTGTTTCTCTTTAAAGCTGGGTATTTTATGTTCAAAAGTAGTTATTAAATATGGAAAGCACTGATTTACCTGATCTGCCATCATCGACTCTTTCTTTGTATGGCTGGCATGACTAATCTCAGACTCTGGAAAGCAGCATGTAGAACCCAGTCCTGAGGAGGACGCTCGGCCTTTGATGTACTCAGATAAGTTCCTGTTGCTTGAGTGGCAACTTTCTCTCCAAAGGGACTGGGCTGGTAGAGGCCGACAGGATCCCACCTGTAATGACTTCCTGGGTCTCAACAGCAAACAAGACTGCAGTTTCCCACAGACCCATAATCAACACCACTCCAAGCTGTTTCCAACTATACAGTTCTTCATAGCAGGGTAGGACAGGTTAGCTCTGAATATCACCAAGGGATACTGTGCTGGGATAACAAGGGAGCCTGGAGGAAAGTGGTATTTTCTCTAAGGAGGCCCATGTATCCTTCCCATTGTTGCATGAACTGGCAGGGGTGGGTGGAAGTTAGGAAACACATTAATTCCCTGATTGTTGCCTGGTGCTGTTGCTGTAATGAAGCCTTCAGAAAATCCTCTGGATCCTTGAAGGAAAACCACCTTCTACAGTGCTGGGATTAAGGAAGGGAGCCTTTAGGAGAGAGAGAAGCTGCGGGAGAATCTGTTGGATGTCTTATTCTGCTCAGTAGAGATGGTTTAACTCCTTGCCAGTGGAGCTTTGAGTGTGAATGCTCCAGCTCTGGGGGCCAAACTTAGCAGGGCAGATTAGCAGTGATAGGGAACAGCCTCCTCTTTTGTTGCTTCAGAGTCCTGGTCAGGAGTTGAGAAGGGCTGTCCTGGGACTTTCCAAGATGCCCTTTCATGAATACTCCTCAACTCCTAGCTTCATCTTCCAGGCTGTCCAGGGAGCTGTAGGCCCTCTTTTCAAAGTTGTGTTGCGTTGGTGGCCTAGGGCACTGGCATTGTTGTCCCACCTGGTTCTTTTTGTTGGAAACATGAGGGATGAAAGGACATTTATTTTACCGCCTAATTTTTCTGAGTAGGACAACAGCTGCCATGTCCCCATGCACCATTGCATAGTATACAGACACCATTGTCACCATGTTTGTGTGCTATCCATGAAGCAAAATGCATTACTGGTGCCTCTCCATAGATGATGTCAATCAACTGGAGCTCCTGCTAAGTGACACTTCTCCCTTTCAGCTCTGGAGAGATCCCATCCACAGTCTTCCCTGTGTCAGCCAAAATGACGGCTGTCCTGTTTGCGCTGAGCCCGATCCATCCCTGCCGTGACTCAATGGCGTGTGACCAGCCTCGAAGCTTTGTGAGGTGCTTTTGTATGGAAGATGCAGTACCAACATCGTGTGTACGGGTTTGGGATGATGGCTCTCTCTTTTCAGGAAGAGACCAGAGAGTGGCCGGGTCACTTATCATATGTCAAGGTGGATCCAGCCAAGATCATCATGGCCCGTACTGGCTCTCACCGTGCACGGCAGCCACTGATGGGAGTTTCCTTGAGGCACTCAGCAGTCTTGGCTGTTCTCAGCCTCCCTCCCCTTCCTGTCCTTTACTGGGAGGAGGGAGAAGTGGGGAGTTTTGTTTATTCCTTTCAGTCCCACCATAGCGTGGCCCCGTTTCAGTGGCTGGGATGACTGATTAACAGGGATTTGGGATGCCAGAAGTGTGTGGTCATGTTGATGCGGTCCCATTGGAGGCCAGGCTCAGACACACAGGCAGCACTGAGAGCCTCAGCTAGCAGCCCTTGCATACTAAAATCCTCCTCCGTCCTCCAGCAGGTCCGAGGTGATGCAGGGTGTGGGGGGTGCTTTCCCCTTCCAGGGAGATGCCTGGCCCTGACCCGGGCTGGCTGTACAAAGTGCAAGGGGCTTTTCTCTTCACATGGGGGGCGGGGGGTGATTTTTCATTAAGGACTCTTAGAATAACTGACTGGTGGGGGGCAGGGACTCATTATAAGGGAATGTGACTGTAACCATCTTAATTAAATATAGGAAGGACCCAGCAGGGTCTTTGATTGAGGGGGTCTGCTGGGCCCCTCGCCCCCCTTCAGCTCTCCCCTTGATCTAATTACTTTAGGTTACGCAGAGGTCAGACGAACGCGGCTTCATAGAGCTGAACCAGGTAGGAACAAAGGGGCCCGTTCCCGGCCTGGTCGAAACACCGCGGCTTGCAAGGGGGATGATTTTGGCTTCCAAATGCTCAGCCGCGCGAACAGCGCGCTCTTAATCCTCCTCATAGCAAAGCCTCGAGGAGGGCACAGACCTTTACACATGAATGCCGCCGCCGCCTCTTCATCATCCTCTCCCCACACACAGCCTGGACGCCAGGGAGGCCGTTGAATAGGAGCCTGTTTGCGTGGGCAGGGACAAGGGGCTGCTAAATGGCAAGTTGAGCCGGTAGAGGAGACAGAGGCACAAGCTCATCCCGAAGGGGAGAGGAGCGGTTTTAAATCATTCCCTTCTTTTCAAGGCACGGATCGTTCTGGTGGCCCAGTTGGTTTTTTTGGCAGCAGCTTGTTTCGTGTCCACATGAATAATGGGCAGCTGAGAGCTGTTTCAAATGGACTTTCATTTGTCTTAATGAAACTCAGAGCAGCCATTCCCAATGCCCGCTCCGGGCTACCACCCCATGCCGGTCAGGGGACGAGCTCCCCCCGGCACCGCCGACCTCCCCTGGGGAAACAAAGCCCTCCCCGCTTTCGGCGGGGCTGGCAGGACCATTGGCCTGTCTTGCCATCCAGATCCGAATCGCTGGGGCTGGGGAATAGAAATGCCTTTGCAAAGCAGGAGGGATGGGGGAGAGCGCAAGTTAGCGCAAAAGTGGCAGAACTACAGAGCAAACTGGTGAGTGACTGAGCTCTCCATGGAGATCTCTGGACCAATGGGAGGGATGGAAGCTGTTTACAGGGGCGGAGCGTTTCCATAGCAGCCAGCGAAGCCTTTTGGAGCAGCTACTTAATGACAGTCATTCTGCTGCTTACAAATCACTGCAGCTCTGGAATAAAGGAGCTCTGGCAGGGCTTTGGGTCATAATTTATCCCGGGGGAAAAGTAGAAATTCCCCCCCCGCTTTTTTTTTTCCCTTTCCAGAAC